GGGCTTCTGGGTCCACTGTTGAATAGGGCTGATCTAATCACAGAATCATAGAATCAGCTGGGTTGGAAGGGACCTCCGAGATCCTCAAGTCCAACCCTTGATCCACTTAGTGCCACATCCAGTCTCATCTTAAAAACCTCCAGGGATGGAAAATCCACCACTTCCCTGGGCAGCCCATTCCAATGTCTGATTGCCCTTTCTGAAAAGAATTTCTTCCTAATATCTAACCTAAACCTCCCCTGGCACAGCTTAAGACCATACAATTTTCTGATTTCAACTTCTTTCCTCCTGCCTCAGTTTACAGGATAGCTTATGTTGATATGAAGAATGATCAAAAGAGAATTTAAAATAAAATCCCCACCACTAAGTAACTGTATAATATTCAGGAATAGGCAGGAATATTTTCCAGTATCATTCACAAGGACATTAAATGGTGTTTTGTCCCCAGTATTGACCTCTTGGGAGCTCCGTTAGTGACTGTGCCAGGTGAACTTGTGAATACTGCAGAATATTGAAGCACAGAAGCCAGTTCCTGATATGGAACCCCTGGCAAGACTTACAAAACCTGTCACGAGAATTGTTTTCTTTGTTCCCATTGAGGGTGGATTGTGATACTTGCTCTCAGACAGCTGCGCTGAATTGTCCTAAGTCAAGAAAAAAATCCTTAAACTTGACTAGTGAAAAGATCCCAAAGGAATACTAAGTAAGTTTGCCGATGACCCTAAACTGGGAGGAGCTGTCGACTCCCTGGAGGGCAGAGAGCCCCGCAGGCACTGAAGTGTTACACAGCATCCAAAGGAGGGACGCGAGGAAGGGGAAGGGTCTGCAGGAGAAGCCGTGTGAGGAGCAGCTGAGGGCACTTGGTCTGTTCAGCCTGGGGAACAGGAGACTGAGGGGAGACCTCACAGGGGTCTTTGACATCCTTGTTGCCAAATCCTCTGAAATTGTTGGGATAAATAAAACTCTAACTACGTGTTTTTAGTGTTAGAAAGCAAGGCATTACTTTTATTCAGAGCACTGGGGTGTGTGTGGCTGACCAAAATCCTGCCTCCATATGGACACCACTTTTTCACCTATTTATACATTTTTGACAGACAAAAGAAATTAATGTTCATTGGTCCTTAATTACATAATTCTCTTTCATTAGTTAGTATCCTACCTCTTACTGGTTATTAATTTCTTGCTTTCTATGCTAATTAAGTCCACACTTTTAGTCTTTTTAGTATCTTTTTCCCCTGTAGGAACTTTGCAGCATGTATACTGAATTCTTTGTTAATTCTTTTCTTTATGACATAAACACCTTCCTTCCTTCCTTCTTTTCCTTCCTTCCTCTCTCTCTTCTTCTCTCTCTTCTCTCTTTTTCTTTTTCTTTTTCTTTTTCTTCCTTTCTCTCTTTTTTCTCTCTTTCTCTTTTTCTTTCTCTTTCTTTTTCTTCTTTCTTTCTCTTCTTGCTTTCTCTCTTTCTATTTCTCTGTTTCTCACTTTCTCTGTTTCTCTTCTTTCTCTTTTTCTCTGTTTCTTGCTGATATGGTTTGAAGCTGGCTCCCTGCCAAGTCTCCAAACCTTACCACAAGAATCCCCCCCCCCAAACCTCAGGGAGAAGAGGGAGATAAAACAACCAAGAAAACCCGAAATGAGAGAGAGACAGCTAAAGCAATATATATAAATATATTTACACTTATATTACAGTTATATACAATTGAAATATATATACAATTTCACAAGGAAAAGGGAAGGGGGGAGGGAAAAGGAACAAAACCAAAATAAAATATATATATATATCCTGATTAGTAGCCCAATATCTAGCAACTAAAAGAATTGGCTAAAAACTATCTTACTACTCTCCTTGGGACAACAGAAAGTCGCTCTGGAACGATCGCCAGCAACCTCCGTCTCCCAAGGTCGACAAGGGCTTACCAGCACCTCCAAGGCTTACCTGCACCTCCAAGCCGCCAGAAGGAAAGAAAGCAAAGGCCTTCCCTCCTTTCTTCTTATAGTCTGTCTTACAAAAAAAAAATCTTCCTTCTTCCTTCTTCCTTCTTCTTTCTTCTTTCTTCTTTCTTCTTTCTTCTTTCTTCTTTCTTCTTTCTTCTTTCTTCTTTCTTCTTTCTTCTTTCTTCACTCTTCTTTCTTCTTTCTTCTTTCTTCTTTCCTCTGCCTCCTCTGCCTCCCCTGGGTGTTGCAGGCTGCTTTTATAGTGGACCGGGCGGGACCCCTTTGTGACACCAGAGCTCTCTGAGCCACTAGCGAGGTCACAGTGGCTTTCCCCGATGCATCACAAAGGGGGTTCCGCGGGTGCTCCCGCAGGAGCCGCTCCCGCCACCGGGCTGGATCCCTGACACGGGCCTAGCTCTGCCAATAAAGCACAGCAAGCTCCCATCAGATGAGGGTGTCAATGGTCCCCCTGTGCGCCGGCAGCGACTTGCTCAGGGTGTGCCCGGGCCCGCGTCTCTGCTCGCCCGGGCTTTCCCTGGCTCGGGAGAGCCCCCTGGACCCCACTCGGGAGTGCTCCGCTGGGGATCAGACCTCTCACAACCGGGGCCCTATGCCAGGAGTGCATCCCTTGGGATCCAGACGGCTCCAAAGCTTTGTCCTTGCTTCACCTGTGCCAAGAGTGACACGCGGGACTGGTTTCTGCCAGTTCAGCATATGCAGAGCTGAACTTCCAGTGCCCTTTCTGTTCAAAGCCTTCTGGAGGCAAAAAGGGGGATGGGGTGAGGGGGAATGTCAGTAAATGGGAGCTTAAGTATTAAAGAAAAGAAAGGACCAGAAAAAGACAGCTTCAAATATGAGATAAGTAACAACAACAACACAAGGCGTTACCAATTTTGGAACTTTTTCAATGAAAACATGGAACACTAACTTATATAATCTTATAGGAAATAGCCTTAAGTTTTAAATAAACAAGTGACTGTTCAATACTAACATATACAATCTTAGAAGAACTAATCTTCCATTTTAAATAAATCTGCAGTCAAACCTGTCGATAGGCAACAAAAGGAGCATGTGCTTGAAGGCTCCCTTTGGGACATCGCTCACACTGCTGTGCTTTCCCAGATGAAGGACACACAGAAGTCTGAGGTTCTCAGCATTTAATTTGCCTCAGCCTTTACAGACAGAGTTTGCTCTCAGGCATCCATGTCTAATGGCAGTTTGGAAAAGGGAGGTACTACCCAGAGCTGAAGAGGGTGATGCTGGGATCACTTAAGTAAACTGGAAATGTACAAATCCATGGGACTAGATGGGATGAAGCCAGGCTAGGCAAAAGGAAGAAAACTCTCAATAGTGAGGATTGTCAGGCACTAGAGCAAGTTGCCCAGAAACTGTCTGCAGTTTCTATTCTTGGAGGCTTTCAAAAGCCAGCTAAATGAGGCCTTGAGAAACTTTCTGTTTCGTTAAGCAGAAGATTGCATGAGATTCCTGCAGAACTCCTTTCCAACTTATTTTTTTCTATGATTCCCAATAAGCAACTGAACGTAAACTTAAGATCCCCTGGAAATGTGCCTTAAATTGTGCAACGTTGAATGTAGCATGTCGTAAATGCCATACAGATCCCACATCACCCATGAGACATGGGAATCTAAAGGAGAGGGCAGTGGTGGTCCAGGGACTGGAGCTGCTAGAGAGGTCTCTAAACTGTGGTTGTGAGGATTAGCAGGGTTTAAACAGTGTTTTCTGCTGCTCCACTCCAATCAGTCACCCTTTAGGTGTGCTGTAGGTGCTCCAGGACTTCCTGTACTGAACCTCCTAGTGCTCACTCAGTGCTTTGGTGTCACACTCTCCAAGGACTTCACGAGCCCCAACAGATCACTCACAGATACGACTCTAACAGATCTCTCTAACAAGAGTCCTGTATGGGCTGAGACCTTCCTGAAGACTCACTTAACATCAACATGATCAACTGTGGCAGCTCACAACGGATCTGTTCCTGTTTCATGCTGCTGGCAGAGCTTACACTAGCAGTAGAGTGCAGTGAAGTTCTTGCCCCCTAGGAGTTACCAGCAGACAAGATCTCTGAAACACACCCCAAGCAGACCTGGGTTTTCTTGTTATGTTTTTACCTTGTCCCTGAGTGGCTGCTGCTTCAGATGTTGCACAGCTGCTGGTTCAGCAGGTTCATACACACAGAAAGGCTACTGTAACCACTTCAGGTTTAATTTAAGTTTAATCAGTGTTCTGGACATGTGAACATTTTTTATTTCAACACTGTTTCAGAAAAGTTTTGTTGGAGGCTCCTGAATCCTCTGGAGACTTCTGGTTGGAAGCACAAGCAGATTTTTCCTGGCCTGTAGCAGCAGACCGTGTATCTGGACAAGCAAGACACTCCATCCCCTGCTGACTGAGTACATGGAGCCACAAATGTCCTGGAGCAAAACCCAGAAAACTTCTGAAGCTTCTCTGTGAATGATGAAATCCTGGGGAGTAAAACCCTACAAGAACCAAGCTTAACTTTGCAGTAAGGATGTAACTTTGAACAGGACAAAGTTGCACATACCTATTAGCAATGAAAGAGACAATTTAGATCATCTCTTTCAACAGTAGCCCTTCTGCTTGATGTTGAGTCTGAACTATTGTCTGATGATGGTCCAAATATGAGTCCCATGTATAACCTTTCAGAAGTTGTATGACTCTGGAAAGGTGAGAAACCCTGCTGAGAGTATGTCTGCATTAAAATAATGGGGTTTCTGTGCAATTCTTCCAATCAGGCCTCAATTGCTGTGCTAATGCCCCTTGGCATGAGTAGAATTAACATAAAATCATAGAACTATATTATTTTTTTAGTTTTATACTTCCTTTCCACAGTCAGAAACACCTGAGTGTTGTGACTAGAGTACCACACAAGAGGGGACATTCTGTTCAAAGAAGGCAAAACTGATGTACAACACTGAGCAGAGAGTTGTAGCAAAGCAGGGAAGTCATGTAAAAATCCAGGATTCTAGCTTTAATATCAAGAGTAATTTACTGCTTAAGTGGTCTTACATGTAATACAATAAGCCCTGCAAGATAAGAATTATTTCAGGTTGTTGTTTTTTTTTAATTGGAAAACATCACTGAAAGATTCCTTTCAAAATAAACATTACTGTTCCCAGGAGAGCAAAACAGATGAATTGGCTCTGAGTTCTTGATTTCTCCATAATCTAATTTAAAACAGAACAAAGAAAAAAGGAATCAGTGGAATAGCAACCTCATAGAGCAGAAGAACATAATTCAAGTGTTAAGAGGACATTTACAAACACCATTATTAATGCCAAAACATTGGTTTATCTTTTCAGTGAGTTCTAGATGTCAGTCTTTGTCAGTTATGTTGAAGGTCAGAAACTTGTCCATATATTGTATATTGATAAAATACTTCTCTGTGGTTTCACGTTCTCATCTGAGGTATCATCCAAGCCAAACTCATCCTTGATGAATTAATATCAATGGAGTCACATGCCAGGGGTGCAGCCCTTTCAGTACTCATCAGTCTAGTATCAAATGGGTATTTAATTGGTCCAGTTTGCAGAACTGACCCCTGGCTCTCACTCAAGCCACCCTCTGCGACACAACATGGGTATTATGGACCTGTTGCATCCTTTTTTCCCCTCACTGTTCCAAGTACCCACAGACCTTCCCACTCAAACTGGTGAGATACATTCAGGTAAAATATGCCACTTGGCTTAGCCCAAATCTTTTTGTCATGCTTCTGCTTCTCAGTCAGATCAGCCATTTGTATGTTTTAGTTCACTTGTGATGTCCATAAACCTCCTCTGGGGGTGCAGGGCATGGCTGAAACCCTCAGTTGGGGCCCTGTGAGGGGGCACTGCTGAAGAGACCCTGTGGCCGCAAGGGAGGGAGAGAGAGAAGAGTCCATATGGGTGCTGGTAATCTTGGCTGGGACCTTCACAGCTCTGAGAATGTCGGCAGATGTTGGATATGGAGCACTGCTACTCACAGTGTACTTGCAAGTGGGTCCCAACTCCTCAGTGTCACCATCTTGGAGGGACAGAGAGGAGCCCCATGGCTTCTGAAGTCACATGTGCTTTTTGCCTTTTGGGGGAAGACAAGGACCTTGGCTGGAAACAGCCAGCACAAGACAGCCAGTGGAAGGTACTTTCAGTGAACACCACGAAGTTATTTTGGTCTCGCACTATGCACTACCTTTGCTATTTATCCCTGAGTGTCTTTTCTAGCACTGTGTTTATTTATACTCACACAACTATAGCCCCCTCAGTGACAATGTCAGTAATTCTCAAGGCAGTGGCATTTGTAGTGGTGAGCAAAAGGCAGGAGCTGGTCCCCATCAGTGGCAGGGTGTCCAGTGACGAAGGCAGTATGTCACAGACAACTTAGGAATTCTTGGCTTTCTCTCACCTAGAAAAGGAATGGAAAGAGGGAGATGGAGCTCAAAAAGGCAAGATGCAAAGGCATCCCCATAGAGGCTTAGGGGTTTTGCCAAGAGAATTAAAAATGTTTTACAAGGAATCAAGTAGGTTTATAGGAAATCTGGAGATCTATGTATGCCAAGGGCTTCTCATCCTTCCAAGGCAAAGTTGTTAGCACGGCACTTTTTAAAGTTACTTCCTGAGATATCCCAGCTCAACTCACTCAATTCATGCTCTAGTGATGGTATTGCAGATTGGCAAAAGGGAAATTCATTGTGTCCAAAACCTTGTCATTTTACTTGCTTTAGGAATGAAGTGATTCTGTGAGAGAGCAGATTCAACATACTCAGCTATTATTTACATCAAAGAAATGAACTGGTTCTTTTGATGACCTTGGAAAAATGCAACTTGATTTGTTTGAGCAGGGCATTTTAAAGGTTTTTAAAAATCCTATTTGATAGTATTATGCAATAATCAAGGCACACACAGCATCTGGACCTGCATGTTCTGTTGGCAAGTGTGCCTGCCTGTTCAGAGGGGCACAAATTTCCTGGCACTGATGAGAGTGATACCTCAGGGCTTTTTGAGGATTAAGCCTTGATTCCCTGTGCTGACATTCTCCATAAAGGTCAGTTAGCATTTCCCATGTTCGCTGTCAAACTCACTGACACTGAGCCCCTCTCTTTCGCTAAAGATGATTCAGGCCTTGGAATATGCCCTTGACTAAGGAGCTATTTTAGTTTCAGAACTAGCTGTTTCTCTGGTGCAAACGGGTGTAGCTCTTATTTAAGTCAAAGGAGGGGAGTTTGACAACCTTAGCTGCTTTGCCAGTATATCTGTTTTGGCAAATCCTCCTAGCAGAAGCACAGCTTATATCCACAATAGAGTGCTTTGAGTGGTAGGTCTGATTCCTGCTCCCTGCGTGAAGGGATGCAGAGAGGAAGAGGCTGCTTGGCTGACGTAACAGTGCCAGTACAAGGCTCTATCTGTCATGACTATGGGTGTTTCTCTTGCAATCATGATGGAAAACGCTAGTCTGGCAAATCCTTTGAGTGTGGGCCAGGCCTGAGGACCTGGCTGTATATTTAGATGTCCCCTACCGTCATTTTCAGTCTGTGTGCTGAAAGATCTGTGGGCTTCTCTGTTTGGCATTACCTCCTTGATGTGAGGTCTCTTAAACCACCCTCTCCCTTCTCTTGCTGCCCTCTGTGCCTTCCCAGTGTGCAAGCTGCAGTGCTGTCAGTCATAGCTTTTCCTTGTAAAACCTGCACCTTCCTCCCAGGCAGGTCTGTCCTCCCTACAGTGCTAATGCTCCTGACAGCTCAACAGCAATCCCTGTCCTGCCAGCTCCACTCCATGCCACCTGCGTGGATGAAGCCTCTCCTTCAGCCCCCAGGCCTGCCAAACCTGTACTTTGCTTGTGTCTTGGATCAAGTCACATTCATCATCTCCCTTCCCTCATGGCCAAAGAAATCTCTGCCTTTGTCCATGTCTCTATGTAACGATACAGGAGAGCAAACCAAAAAAGAGTAGGGTACTTTAATTAACCATATCTCCATTGTATAGCTGGATAACTTCAGGTCAGCAATATCTGGTGGGTAGCCCAAGGTCATAAAGACAGTCTGTGTCAGAACCTGCATTTATATCCAGCTTTCCTGAATCCAAGACCCTTATTTTAGTCATTAGAGCACCTATAACAGCTCTCTGCTACACTTTTCCCTGCATGTATTAATGAATATTTCCCCTTCAATATTTAACACTTTCAGTCATGAACTCTTTATTGTATACTCAGATGCAGTCTGACAAATCCATGTTTTCCCTTTACTAAAGCAATGGAAGCATATACTTCTGATGAAATTTGGCTTCTTCAGCTAAAGGGCCAGCAAAGTTTTTTCTGTTGCTGCATTTTCCTTAGTTCTTGAAACCAGCGCTGAGACAAGTCCACTTGTGTGACATCTGCTGATAAACTGGGATCATGAATATAAAATCCAGACTTCTTACATCAGTCTGAACATACCAGACATTCTCTAGGTCAGTATTTGGAAAATGCTATCACAGGCAGCTTATGGGGCAGGAGTGGATTTCATACATATGACTTATACTCTAGTTTTAGCATAGGAATATCTGAAGCATGTATCAGTGACTCGTTTGTTAAAATATTGAATCTTGAACCAAGGAAATTATCTTGCTGACTGTGTTTCTGTACTTTCTAGTATGTGTCATGGAAAAAATTGGCTATCATGCCAGACTGCCCCCGAGGAAGGTCATATTCCTTTAGCACCTGTTGATTAACACAATACCTTACTTTTAATTATTAAGCATGATTGAAGCCTCTGTGGGTATTTCCAATAGTTGCTGGAATGCTGAGATAGTGGATATTTACCTGTTCTGGCCTGCTGGGCTGGAAGAACCCAGAAGGAGTCATTTGTTTACATTAAGATTCCCATTCTGATGAAGTCTGCCCGAGAAGACTCCACAGCTGGAGGGTGCTATATCTGCTGATCCAGATCAGCGCTGTGCTGCTCTTCCAGACCTCCTCAGGGCTGGCTAGTTTTTGTCATTTCGGTCTCTCAGGACCTTTTCTAGTAAAGAGATAATGCAAAGCCTCTGACACCCAGGAGGAAGTGTCAGCTCGGTGGGATTAGGTGACAGTGATGAGCCAAAGTGGCAGTGTTGTGGATGGTGGGAGACTCTGACGGGTTGTGGTCCTGTGGCAAATCACAGGTTGAAAACAAAGTATGAGCTACCCAGTGGAATTATATGGAATTAGATGACATCTCCCTAGCCTGGCTTTCTCTCCAAGACCCCGTAGTGCAGAGGCAGCTGTCCCATGGATCATGGTGCAGGAGGGCGGTCAGGCAGAAGGAAAGGGGACGTGGTGTGTTACCATGGGTACATGCGCTATGAGCTCACCTGTGAAGGAGTCTGGACGAAAAGGTCTCACCTTCAGGTCACAGGATTTGATGGATTGGATTGGGCTGATGAAGATATGCAAGGGACCCAGAGTAAGCCATGGCCTTCTGGATGCTACATATCAGCATCCTCCCCCGTGTCAGCAAAGAAGAGCTCTGTTGACGTGGAGAATACGTGTCTGAAGCCAGTTACATCAGCTCTGTCCCAGCTCCAGGCATGTTGTAGCAGAAATGCAGGATTTCAGCAATGCTGTTCAAGGTTCATGGGCTTTTCAAGAGAATTGTCAATGCAGACCAGTACTGTTTGCACTGCAACTGAGTGAAAAATGTTGTGGAGGGAACATAAATCAGCAGGTTAGGATTTTATTTTTGGGCTGAAAATAGAACATTTCTGCCTTGTGATTTCCCAGCTTAAACTTTATGTGGACATTGCTCAATTTTTTTTTCATTATTGCTATAATTTAATTGTGGGATTTAGTCTTTGGAAACAACCAAACAAACTGAAAACAAAACACATCAACCATCCAGTTCTGTTATTCAAAAGAAAATTTGTTAGCAGGATATGTGCACTTATTAAATTAGAATGCTTATTAGTTGCTCATTTACTCCTTCAACTATGAGAGGAAGCTTTCTCTTTCTCTTGTCTTCCAACCTGCTCCTGTCTGGGAAAGCTGATAATATCTTGCTTTTAAACTGCAATTTCTCCTCCTGTTTTTAGGAGACTTGATGGTTGCAAATGAAAAGTGACCACAGAGGGAGTGGCTAAAGTGTCACTGTTGAATAGGCTGATGATTATTAGTCATGGTATATATTGGGAAAGGCTCTTCATAATTTTATATGCCATAAAAATAATTTGTTTTTGCTCTGAGTTCACTAAACTGCTGTTTCAGCTGGATATTTGTTGCAGCTTGCTGCATTACAAAATCCTTGGTCATCTGGATAGTATTTCTGTAGCAGGGGTGAGAAGTCATGGTAGCAGCTCTAAAGCTTTATTAGGAAGAAAGTTCTATGCTTACTGTTTAGTATGGGATAGACTAGGAAGGGAAGATAGTTTGTTAGAAATGCCAACACCGTAATTTTATCCTTTTTTTGGACATCTTTTCTACTTACGTAATTTATAAAGCCCCTTTCAGTAGGGGCTTTATGTAAAATATCATAGGCAAAAAATGTATGGGAACATCCTCTTCTAGCTCTCCCTTCCAAAGGAAAACCTGGAGTAGTTAAGCTTTACATTTTCTGAAATGCTGCATGCATGTGGCTGTGGAATTGAACATGCTTAGAGCTCTCTGAAATACTTCTCATGCTGCTATAAATATACATACTTTACTAACAACTTGCATTATTGGCAGCATTGTTGTCTACTGTACTCATTTCAAAAATAATGGTTTTGTGTAATTCTCAGCAATATGATACAAACATAACCCCTGTAATGAAAAACTGGTTCAAAAAGGGACTGAAGACCTCATTGTTCGGTCGAATACATAATCTGCTGACTGCTCTGTTCAATTTGGGCTTCAGACTGTAAACTCCTGGGTCAGGTTTTTTATAATCTTGGTGTGAGCCGACTGATTGAAGCACAGACAATGGAAGGGCAAGCCAAAGGCTCCAGATCTTACTGGCATATTGTTATATCAGATTCCCACTTCTAATTTACTGGGAAAAAATACGTGTTTAACTCATAAGATGGGGAAGAAGAACTCAAAAACTGTGATTTTAATGGGGACAGGTGGTAGTCTGAATCTCTAGCACCTGGAAACAGAGAGCCAAGAGATGTGAACCAACTGATCCTCCCAGGGTAGTGCTAATTTCCAGACCTGCCCCTCACTCAGACCATCAGTGCTGCAGCTCCCAATTCCCAACTAAGGAAGGTGACCTGTAAAATACAGAAGAGAGAGATGATCCCAGCCCTTTCTGAGTAACACAGAGATGGGCATGGCCATGGTGACAACATTCCCCCTTTGTGCTACTGATGTGGCCTTTTTTCTGAAGAAATGGCAAGGTTTACTGCTTTGGGGATGGATCCTGTTTTGCTTGTGGAGGTTTAAGAAACTTCCTACCTTGTGGTGAGAGTGGGGAAGGAAAGCTGTGGCTTGCACTGCACTAGAATTTTTCTCTTAAAATATTTTATAATTAAAAAAAAATTACGCGTTCGCTGAGATCTAAACGGATTATAAATGTCTCATTTTGAAAACAGTGGCAGATTTTACCCTTTTGATAATTCCACAGAAAATATTTAAATTAAGTGATTTTCTTTTTTTTATTTCCTTTTTTCTTTTTTTTTTTTTTTTGTAATTTAGGCTGACTCAAATTATCGGTATGAAACAGCTTGATTTAGTCCAAGCTTTTTTTATGGCTGACCTCTGAAAAATGTTATTTGTCTAATTTATTCAACTAATTCAAGCTAGGAAATCTGCCAAATTCTTGAAAATTCTCCAGTGACAGGAAATTATTATCCTGTGACTTCTCTAAGTCTAATGGTGTTTCTATTTAGCCTGCTCATAGCTTTGGTAGTGGACAACAACTTGTAATATTGACTGATGGTTTCTTTGCCACTGGGTTAACTTTGGCATATTTGAGGTACTGGGACTCTCCTGTCAGAAGAGCAGGCAGTGACACACAGATCATTCAAAGGACAATTCTTTGATGTCTTTTACAACCCAAACAGGAGAGAACTGGCCTCACCCACAGGCCAGCCTGTATTTATCCAAGCTGCTTGCTCCATCATAACTTTCCCCGGTGCTAACGGGCTGTGTGAAAGAGGACACCATGTTCCTTACCCTGCTTCCAGCCTCTCCTCCACGCTGGCAAAAGCAGAGGCTTGAGTGTGGCTGCAGCGATATTCTCTCTTTCTCTGCAGGTTTCAGGTTGAAGGGGGCCCCTGATGGGCAAAGGACTCGTGACATTAAAAATTACACACTTTTGAGTCTGTGTTGACACACAGACATTTCATGCTCTTAAATAACACTTGACTGGCATGTTCTTTTTTGATGCCAGCTCACTCATT